CGGGGCCCACCCTGAGTGTCAGGCCCCCAGGACGTGGGGCGGGTCAGGGCGCTGTCACCCAACGCTGACAGGGCTGCTGCACAGCCAGCTGCCACGCACCCTGCTGCGGGGGTGGGGGTGGGGGTGCTGGCCAGAAGCTCCTCCTGGGGAGAGGGCAGGAGAGCTGCGAAGGTGGCGGATGCCCAAGGGTCTGGGGCAGAAATACTGCACACACAGGGCACAGGACCGGCTGCTGGGCAAGGTGGAGGCAGCCGGGCTGGGGCACCGAGGCTGAGCACCGAGTCAGGGATGTGCCGAGCTGTGCCTGGAGTCTGCAGGTGGGGTTCAGCGCCGGAGCAAGTGGTGGCCCCGAGCTGCAGGTGACATTGTTCCTGTCACCCTCTGCATGACGCCCACGTAGTCAGACCCACCCGGCATGGTCTCTACAAAGCCAGGAGCTGAAGTCAGGAGGGTCCGTGCTGTCAGCCCCATGGCCGGCTCCAGGGTGGCCTCTGCTGTGTCTGTGGGGACAGTGGTGACAGACATGATCTGGGTCGCGGTCCCCTCTCAGCCCTTGGAATCTACGTCCGAAACCCCAGGACTCACGGCCACTCTGCTGGAACTTGGGAGGGGCACCCGCGGGACCCCTGCACCGCAGGTCTGACGGCAGCTGCAGAGGACGTGAGGCCGGCAGAGCAGAGCACCTACTCCGGGGGCGGCGGGGTGCCAGCCTGGACGCTGCTGGGCCTGAATGACAAGTCGAAGGCTCTCTGGTCGACGAAACTCTGGGCCTTGTACTTGGCTGGGTGTGTCTGGGCACCGCAGGGGCCCAGCTTTGTCTGACTCGTGGCCCTCTCCTGCCCAGGCCCACAGGGCAGTGTCTCCAGCACCCCAGGGCCAGCCCGGCTGCTTGCTGGTGCCAAGAAAGTGGCTTTGTCATGGGGGGCCGGTCCTTGGGACCCCCCAGGTCCAGTGCCACCAGCAGTAGGCATGGCTTGGGCTGTGCTAACGCTGTCCCTGTCCCCTGCCTCCACGGCCAGGGGTGCCCTCTCAGGGGCCCTGGGCCGCCTGCTCTCAGAGTCTGGAGGTGCGCCTCGGTGCTCTTTGGCCTGGGCGCCGTCTCCCCGAGCCAGGTCCCTAGGCTGCTTTCCGGCCGGCCAGCAGCTATGCTGACAGGACCCTCCCTCTGCCACGCCCTGTGCCAACCCCCACAGTGGCTCCTCTGTGGTGTCAGGTGCAGCCTGCTGGCCCAGCAGCGTGGTCCTCCCTGGCTGTGGACCCAGTTGCAGGCCCCTGCGCCCTGGTACCATCTCCTCTGGACCCCGGAGACTTCCTTTCCTCCCGACGTGTCCTCCTGCTGGTCCATAGTGCTCAGCTTCACTGCCTGACCTCTTTGCCTGGGGGTCACTGGCTGCAGGTGACAAGCCTGCCCAGAGGCCCGGAGGCACTGAGGGATGGAGAGGGGACACCTTGGCAACAGAATGTGGCTGGTCTGGCTTACCGTGCCTCTCACCCTGGGCCTGTGGACCCGAGGGAGCTGCCTGTGACTCGCTCAGCATGTGGCCTGGAGCCCCTGCTGGGCCACAGGGAGCTGGGCCTTGCGACTCCACACTGTTCCTCCATGGCTTTCCTGCCTCAGCCACGTGACCTCTGCCCGCCACAGCCACACTGTCCCTGTCCTCCACTTCTGAGTTTTCTGTGCCTCTCTCCTCTGCACTGTCCCTATCCCCCACCTCTGCACTGACCCCGCCCCTCACCTCTGCAGTGCCCCCGCCCCTCACCTCTGCACTGTCTCTATCCCCCACCCCTGCACTGACCCTGCCCCTCACCTCTGCACTGCACCTACCCCC